TTTATTCTAAAATAAAACTTGTAGTTTTATTTTGTACAGTTCATCCTTAGAAACTACATTGAGGAAGTTTCCTACTGATTTTTGTTTCCCTGCTTTGCAAGGAATTATGTACTTATTTCACACATTTCATATTTATAACATTTCAAGGTACCATTCAGTTTTGCAAACTGAACAAAAAAGTACCTCCTCTGCTCTGACCTGTGGTGTATAAAATCACATTCCATTTAAGTTCCATTGCTTTCTAGGTCAATGACTCAGAGGAGTATCAACAACCTGCTAAATCACAGTCCACGTGTTATTTTCATGCAGTTAGATACCACTACGATTTTCCCCCGTAACAAATTTTTCCTGATTAGTGAAATAAAAATTCTTCCGCAGGGGTTCCAGACTATAAGATATTAAAGTTAAGCACATAAAATATATCAATTTTAACTGACATCAGGAAGTTGCAAATTGCTCCAGGAGGACAGATTTTAACCTTACGTATGAAATGCAGGTAAACTGTTTTCTTCAAAGAAATAAAACCAAATAACAACAACAAAGCCAATTCTGTTTCATGATTACTACTGTAACACCTTTGAGAGGGAGGCTGAAAAGAACTCCTTACTTAGCCTGACAAGTGAGAATGTCATGAGGTGTTCTGGTTCCCAAGCCATATGCAGGCCTGATATAGGGGGAGACACTTGTGAAGAAGACAAAAAACAGGCTCAGAGATGCACAGAAAATCTTGCAAAGAAAGTAGCACACTTTTTCAGTGATTTAATTACCTGGATTTAATTACAGTCCAACAACAGGAACAAACAGCTGACCAACTGTTTAATACTTCTAATATTTGCTATCACTATGTACAGCCATCCTTTGCCATTCTAAGGGCACGTTACTGCTACTCCATCTAACTCAGCTTGAAACTGCAGTTCAGGACATTCAGGGCAATTATGCTGAGAGTTACACTGAGGAGAATTACTGGAGAACTGAGTTTGTCTACAGAGATTTGAGATTCAGTATGTGAAGAGGAACCACTTCTACATCAAAAAATGCAGACACAAACTACAGCATACAGTCAAAGCTATTTCAGCCTTATTCCATAGCTGAATTAATAATTAATAAGTACCAAAATGTAGGCTATTGCCTTTTACAGAAAGTCAAACATTATTGTATTTTATTTATTGCATATATTTTCACTGCCTAGACAACTAATGTAGAAAGAGAATTCCAATTTCAGAACATCCTAGTTTACCATTCTTCTCCTCATCCCTTATTTCCTGTGTGAAAGTAGTAAACACAACTCCCATGTGCTTCAGGGTCCCATTAAACCTTTGAGGCTTTGAGGTATTAGCTTAAACCAGAAAGATTTAAATTAATTTGTCAAATTCTGAACTACGGCCACTAACAGACGGCAGCTTCACTTTTGCCATGGTTACTGCCACCAAGGGGCAGCAAGGCTGTCAGCCA